ATAACCACTTTTCTATGAATTTAATGTAATAAGATTTGACATTTATTAATTACATATTTATTTAATAAAAGTCATTTATCTTTCATATATTTTTATTTGTTTATGAGTTTTTTCAAAACAATATAATAAATTAATGAATTGGTTTTTTCATCACACTTGAATTATTATACCTTTCCAATTCTTCTTTTTGATTTGTTTCTTTTTAGTATAAACAATCAATATACCAACTAACTCAGTTAAAGTGAATAAACATAAACACTAAAATAAAGTATAGTAAATAAACAAGTTATAACAATTCGATTTAATGTTGATACTAACATTCTTAATTATTTTAACAATAGTATTGATAAGTTAATACATTGTTTATGTGTTAGTGTCAATAAATTCATTATAACAACTGACATTGTATTGGATATTTATCTTAGCAAGACTGAATATACATCTATTGCTATTTGCTATTTGTATATTATTTTTTATATTAACTCAGTTTTGTTTTGGTTCTTTTTGTTCACTACGACTTATTATATATTATTTTGTCAGAGAATTTATTATAAACAACATTTTCATACAGGCACGAAAATACATCACTATTCTTTGAAGTATTGTTATTTTGCATTTATAACATAGGTTATATTATTAAACATTAACATAGTAATTACAACATTGAATATTTTAATGACTCAATATTCATTCATGAATAACACTATCTTCTTTTTAATAACAATAGTTAAAGTAAACAACACTATATTTTACATGAAAATGAATTGTGTGATATAAGAAATGATTGCCATGATTGAAGATAATTGTATTTTCATGATGAATAAAAGAAGTGTTTGATGGAAAGACTATATTTTCAATTGTAAAATTCAATTTATTCAAACATTCTTTTACTTCTTCATGAATTATCAACAAAATATAAAACACTATGTTGTTGATAACAAACTGTTCATACAAATTAAAAATATATCATCCCATATGAAATAACCAACAAATACTTAATTATTTGAATTAAAAATGATGCTATTAAATCAACACTAAATGAATCAAATGTATTGTTAATTAAATAATATTTCATTCAAATAATAATCTCTGTTTTATGTAATTGAAATGGTAATTATATACATACAAGTACTACATAAATTCTAATAAATCTAACAACTTATATCATAACTATGTATATTTTTGATATTGTTATAGTATTTCTATTGTTTTATTGTTTGTTAATTCAAAATCATAACAACATTCATCTTTTATTTAATGAAATTATATTTAATGAAAGTAAAAACATCATTACACTTTAATTTTGATTATTCATAGTTTGTTTTATCATTACATTGCACAATTCAATTATTTTATTTTGAGAATAACTTATTTTCTTACATCAAATCATTCTTTATCTTTATAATACATTTGAATTAATCATATAAATAGTCAAGTGTTATTTATTCTATTTTTGAAGAAGTACAACTCCAATAAAGTCTTTTAATACTGTTCATTCTTATTATACATAACATCAAGACATGAAACAAACCATCTGACTTCAATTTATTTATTCATAAGAATAATTGTTTTCTTTGGTGTTGAATGAAAAAGAAGAAACAAAACTTATTCATTCAACATAATGATTCAGTCAATGAGAAATACAAAATGGAAATAAAAGAGAATGTAAATAACAAATTCAATTAGAATAATGCATGAAAAACTCAAATAACCATTTCATCTCATCAGAATTCAATGGACAATCATCTCTTTGAATGTTTGGTGTTGAATAAAAGAGTTGTAATGAATGTAATAGTTTGTTTGCTAGAACAACTCCTTCAGTTCCCTCAAATATTCTCTCATGTTTTCTTGTGATTTCCCAGACAAATTCCAATGCAACAAACTCTTTCTGAATGTCATCTCCAACAATGAAGATATTGACAATGCAAGGAATCATCTTTTTAATGTTTTCTTCAGTAATTTGATCAAACACTTCTTCACTATCAATACTCATCAAGACTTCTTCTAATTTAAGTATGTTATTGACATTACTTGATATACTATAATTCAATCTGGACTTCTTTTGATTAGGAACATCTTCTATTTCAAGTCGTTTTGTTGGTGTTTTTGATAGTTCTTTTGTTCTTTTACGTAGATTATCTTGAAGATCAACTAATGATTGCAATGCATTTGTTCTTTGTGTGTTTTCTTGATTTTTAAATTTGTTATTATGAGATAATTTGTTGATGAGAGGATTAGAACTTTTCTTTTTTGCTGATCCTTCATGAGTGTTTATTTCTAATTGCTTATTGTTTGATTTGGGAGTGAGTGTGGTGGTAAGAGATGGATGAATGGTGTTATTTGGTTGAATAGACTTTCTTTTTGTCTCTTTAAAGTCTCGGATGATTTGATACATCTCATTAATTTTATCCAAGATAGATTTGAGATTAATGGCATGTTGTTTATTCCATTGAACTTGTTCTTCTTGCATCTCAAAGATTTTTTCATTCTGTAACTTGATGCCATCAAGTAATTGGATGATTTCAGGTGGTACTTCTCTTTGCATTACTTTTCATTTTGATTTAAGATTATCAAATCTTCTTTTCAACTCTATTTATCCAAAAGTTCAACAAAATGAAAGTTATTTTTCTCTCACAGAATCTGAATTTTTAACATGTTTGTCTCACAACCTGCACGGTCAACTTGCATTGGAATTGATTTAGGAACAACAAACTCATGTATGTGTGTTTTTGATAAAACAACACCTCGAATTCTGGAGAATGCTGAAGGAAAACGAACAACACCGTCTTGTGTTTCTTTTACACCAACAGGAATATTAGTGGGAGAAGCAGCAAAACGAATGGAAGCATTACATCC